ACTCCTAACCACACATCACCCATCCACCTAACCTCTGACCATAAAGCTGCTGAACAGCTGACGCCTAACCATGACTTACCCAACCACAACAGCCTAGAAACCCGTCTCCTTCAGCCACACATGATACACCTAATGGACACTTTTTGTTTTGCTCTTAATGTGCCATTCGGCTTATACTCATGTAGTATATTTCCACGAAGTATGTGTGCTTCTTTTTGGTATTTAACTAACATATTGCGTACTCATGCCTACCTTCATCTCATGTCCACAGCTGCATGTCCACTAAAAACCTAACCACTGGTTCAATACGCAATACGCACACAACGCTTTCGCATGCATCCGTACCAATCCCATCCAAGTCAAAGTAATGACCTCTCAACTCTCGTTTCCGTGTTCTTTAATTTGCTGAGAACATAGAAGAACACTCTACTCCTCGTCACTTGTTTATTGTAACCACAAGCACTGCATCCATACTTATCCATCCATAAGTACATGTTCAGTGTCTACAATGCAGCGTTTATCGGTTTGTTATCTGCCTTATATTTATATCTTTCATGTGTCTAGGAACAAAATTTTTTAGTGTATCTGGTTTGCTGACATAGTAGTTTCGTAACTTGGTTTTTGGAGTCGTACTTCATGACATTTTTGTTAATTCTTGAATGTGGTTTTAGTGTATCTGGTTTTTAAAAATATGTCAGGGAAATAAAACTTGATTACAATATAAAATTATTATTTTTGTTGGAAACAGAAATAGAGTCTAACAACAATAGTTCTGGCTCAAATATTTCTGAACTTAGTTTGTTTACGGTAAGGTTATTTTGTCTGAAAAAATACAGCTGTCTACATAATGTGTGCCAAATGCACAATGTGTCTTCAGAGGAAAAGAGAAGACAAAAAAATGTCTCTATGTGTAAGTCTCTCTAATTCTCCTCATCCTCTGTTTATACTTTCTACGATACATTCATCCATGCATTATCCACATACATATTCACGACACATTATCCATGAAAACCCCATCCATGATACATCCATCTATAAACCACAATCCACAAATCACCATCCATGAGTCTTATAGATGATAGGAAAGTTTTCAGATATCCTTGAATCAGTACACATGCTTTCATGCATGGTTCGTAAGATCACAAAGTCCAAGACATTGCGTATTTGAGCTTCCATTTGATTGTGCAAAAACTTGAAATACAAACAATCAATTGCATAGCTTTTTATATAAAAAATGTTAACACAATTCTCTTGTCCACAAGTATCTAGTCCATAATTATCTCGTTCATAATTTTGTCTTCCACAATTTTGATGTTCCTGCTATTATGTCCACTTCTTCTTTGTTCACACTTTTCTTTAGCACATCAAATCCAACATAAACAGTGGTGAAATCAACAAACATAATTAAAGATATTTATTTTGTTGGAGAACTATGTATATTTCAACATAAATTCTTACAAAATAATTGAATTTTTTAAGAAAATGAATTGAATTTAATAAAAAGGAGTAATGAATTTTTGACTGGTTAAGTTTCTAATGATTATCTTTAGTTAGGAAATGTAACCAAGTCCACTTACACACTAATTAATGGGTTTATTAGTCAATTTAGCATGAGAAAGTGTTCTCAATATCCAGTGTATCTTTTAACATAATTGGAAATTTGAATTGTATCTCCTAGAATAAATTTCTCAGATAAGAGAGCACTATCAGGATAAAGTTTAAGGCTGGACTTCCAGTTCGGCTCCTCCTCCAGCCAGCCTGTCCACTAGTGTCCAGCTTCTCATATCTTTTTCTTTGACACATTTGTTTGTAGTTCCCTAATTACATGTAAACTATAATACAGTTAGTAGTTTTATCAGTGCAAACACGAGTTCTGTTTGATAATCTCAATTCCCTAATCAAGGTATTGAAACTTTTTTTTGTTATAAGAATACCATTTGTAGATTAGCATTTCAAATTATTTATTTTTCAAATTCTTGATTATATGTTTAGTATTATCCATCCTTTAAAATATATCATGAAAATTCTAGTTATACATTTCACTATTTGCCATCTTTTTCTCTAATAATCAGCTTATGAAGAATGGTCCACTTAACTCGCCTAATTTTAATTTTCTTGAATTAATTTTTTTGTTTAATTAAAGAAAATCAATGTTATTGAAACAAAAACACAATTTGGATCTAACTTTGGTTTATCCTGATCAAATTAGTACTTTTATATTAACTATGCATCATAATATGTCGAGTAACAAATTTATGATTCAATTAATTAAACTAAATGTTTAAATAAAATAACAAAAAGATACTCACAGATACATATAAGATTAAAATTCATTTCACTACATCTTTAAAAGACATACATATACAGTTTAAATATATTAAAATTTATAAATATGTAATATTTAAATAACTTCATAATAATTAGTATACTTTAATTCAAATTTGATTAATATGCACAAACTAAAAGTTATAAAATTGTATATAAATTAATAGCATTATAAAATATTAAATAATGAATATTTTTAATAACTTAATCTACTATTTAATTTAAAAGTATAAACTTAAATTATAGTATAAACACATATAATAATAAATTCATATATTTTATACTATAATTATTTATAAAAATATTATAAATTATTATTAATTATATTATAAAACAATGTTTTGGCAGTTTAGATATTAAAATTTAGAGAAATTGCTTAAACTACCACTTTACTAATACCTATTTTTTATGTTTACATAAACCCTATCTACCTTTAATTTTAAAGAGATAAATAGACACTTATAACCATAGGGTTAATTAATCTAGTCTTAGGGTTAGATTTGAGGGATGAAGTTTTGGAGAGTGAGATTTAGAATTTTAAGAATATATAAATAAATACTTAAAAATTAAAATAAATTTTTGTAAAAGAGTTTCAAAAGATTTTCCAATTTCAAAAATAAATTTTGAAAAAATTAAAAAAAAATCGAAAAACAAATTCAAAAGTTTTTTAATTAAAATGTTCAGATTGAAAAGGTATAACTCAAAACTATTTTCTAAAATTAATTTATTATTTGAAGAATTATTCATATTTATAAAAAGGATGTAAATGTCTTTTACCTACTTAATGAAACTTCATACTTATGTAGAAATCCCTCCTTAAAATTAATATATATATATATTTACTTGGTAAAAATATATTTTTAAAAATTTAACTGATATTTATACTATTTATAGTATAAAGAAACATGATATGGTTGATATTTTTATGATTATAGGTTTTTATGAGTTATTTAATCAGTCATATATTATGTTAATCAAACACAAAACAGTTTTAACAAGCATATTAATTCATTTATATTAAAAGTTTATAAAATAAAGTTTCACAAGTGCGAAACAAGTAAAATATGTATTAAATGTTTCAGTTTTAATATGTTAAAAATAAACTAAAATATAAATGCGAGACACACCACATAAACGAAATATTATATTTAAATTTTTGATTCTATAAAATTACATTTATATAAATATATAATTGGCTATGTAGTGGAGTATTTAAAACACAGATAAAATGTTATATGAACATATGCTATTCCGTAAAACAAAATTATATTATAAATCAATATTTTATATATTAAATTTATAGCGACTATTATGATAAATAGGTTTTTAAGAAAATTATGGTATTTCGTTATAGTATGAATTAGTTAACATCACAACTATATTTCTGTAATTTGTATTAAAAATCACTTCTTAGAAACTAAAATATGAATATATTAAAATATCAAGTTAACACTTTCACTTTATTTCATAAATTCAAAACTGAAATCTAAACTCACACACGCATAATAACACTAAAAAATAACATTTTTCATAAAATATTTTCATATAATTTTAAAATATTTAAATTAAGAAAAGAGGAGAAGAGTGGTTGAGTAAACAACTGCTTTTGCCAAAATAGACATACTCAAATTAAGAAAGAGAGAATTTTTCAATTTGTGATTTTTACCATAAGTTTTGATATTATTTTTCAAAATTATTATTAAAGATATACATTTTCACAAATACTTAAATTGGTGTAAAAATTAAAGTTAATTATATTTAATCATTTTAAATATTTTACAATTTATAATAAATAATTTATAAGTTTATAAACTCAATCATACCTCCTGGATACTAAGTCCTAAATAAAAATCACTAAGCACTTAAGTCAAATATTAGAGTATTTTTTATTGAACTATTTTTAAAAAAAAAAATAGTAACCTAATATTTTAAGTAATTTCTCCTTAAAAAGACAGGGAAACGAAAACAACTTTTAAGACCATAAAGTATTGGTAGGCTTAAGACCAGATGATAAGCAAATTTACATATCTTTCATCTTTTTCTATTTGTGAAAATTGAACGAGCGATTTATTCAGCAAATCAAAATAATCCTCATGTTTATACCAAGCGAAAAGTGATTAGAAAAATAAAAGCATAAATACAAATTTAAGTTCCGCGATATCACAAACATTCCTAACAATATCTTAAGATGGCTCTAACCCAACCCACAACCCAACCAACGGCTTGCGTGCATCATTTCCCACCTTCAGTCATCAACTTGATCAATTATTAGATATTTTAGCAATTCCATCATCATAACAAATGTACTTCTATGTTAATTGGACCGTCCAAATATTTTCTGCAAAAGAAAAATCTAACGAGTAGAAACACGAGTAGTACATTTAGATAATTAGATTCCAAGTTGACATAAAGAAGAAAAGATCTCAACTGGTTCTTCCAAGGTATCAAACGCGGTACAGTTATATATTTTAATAACAACTTTAATAACAACCCACACGGTGTAATAAAGTTTGACCCATCTAATGATTTTTTTCTGGTAGGGAAAATATTTTTTTTGTGGGAAAAAACTACTAGATGAATCAAATAAGTGACACCACCATGCCGACATTTAAGCAGTAGGATAAGATTTGATCGTCAAAATAGGTGCATTACGTGTATAAATATTATATTATATAGTATCATAAATTTTATTTGAGAGTTAGTGAGATTATAAAAATAATAATATGTTGATTATGCAACTAGATATCGTTATTCTATTTAAATCTTGGGCAGAGTCGTCTCTGTTTCTCCGTTGCTTCTTTCTCTCTCAACTTAGCTGTGTATATAATTCTTCTCTTCCCAAACTTCATCGTTGTTTGGTAAAGATAAAGATCAGTGAGTCATATTTCTTCTTCTTCTCTAAACAACAGGTACACACAGTCTCTCTCCTCCGCTCCTTCTTTTTCTCCTCTCTTCTCTCTGTCCTTTTTTCTTTTTAAAAAACTTTCCATCTCTTCTTTTTTATCTTCATTTCTATTTGGTTGCTGAGAAACCGGAGGAAAATTTTCTGAAATTTTTTTTCTTTCTCGGTGACCATATTTTGGTTCGTGTCCTGTTCTGTCTTTTTAAATTCTGCAGTTTTATTACCGTATTTAATCATTTGTCGTTTTTTTTATTTGTTTTCAGATTTTCCACGCGCTTGATCGGTTTAAGTTCTTGAATTACAATCAAGATCCATGGCGGAAGAGCATCGATGTCAAACGCCGGAAGGCCACCGTCTCTGTGCCAACAACTGCGGCTTCCTCGGCAGCTCCGCCACCATGAATCTATGTTCCAACTGCTACGGCGATCTCTGCCTTAAACAGCAAGCCTCCATGAAAACCACCGTTGAGACATCCCTCTCCGCCGTGTCTCCTCCGTCAACGGAGATCGCATCCATCTCTTCTCCGATGATCCAACCTCTCGTTCAAAACCCGTCAGCTGAACTGGAGGCAACGGTGAAGACGGTGACTGCGCCGCCGGAGCAGGAGCAGAAACGGCCGAACCGGTGCACGACGTGCAGGAAACGGGTCGGGTTGACCGGGTTCAAGTGCCGGTGCGGGACGACGTTTTGTGGGGCTCACAGGTACCCCGAGGTCCATGGATGCACCTTCGATTTCAAATCGGCCGGTCGCGAAGAGATCGCGAAGGCGAACCCGCTGGTTAAAGCGGCGAAGCTTCAGAAGATTTGATCGGAGCCGTTCGATGCGTTGACTTTCTTGTCTTCATATAAAACGCGTCCGTCCCGACAGATGATGTTATTGGATTGATCTCAGCCGTTCATCGTGGGTCATATATGTAAAAGATATGTATTTACAAAGAGACACGTCTCATGTGGTTTAGGATAGAGACGCGTTCCTCATCTTCTCAATTAATTTCTTCTCCTTTCAGGAAAAATATGAATAAGATATTCTCGCGTTGGCTTTTATTTCTTTTACACCATTATTAAAATTCGGTTTCCGGTTAATAGCTAAAAGCTTATTAAATATGTTGAAAAAAAAGAAGAAGCTAAAAGCTTATTATTTTACAAAGCCTGAGGACTATAGTCTATAAGTACTACTACAGTAGTATTACTTGCATTTTGGTGGATGTATACCTAGAGCTCATTCTAAAACGATTCAAAATACAATGAGCTCATTCTACTTGCATTTTTATAGGAGTTATTCTTAGGTTCACCCCCTATGGTGAACCTAGAGGTTCACCAACCAATAGAATGGTGTTATTTCATATTTGATATCTTTTTTAAAAGGAAATAAAATCTTGTTAAGTTATATTATGTTTTTAAAATAAAAATAGAAAAAAAATAATAATATTAAAAGAACTAAAAAAAATAATTTAATACTAAAACACTAAACCCTAAACTCTAATCCTAAACCCTAAACCCTAATATTAAACCCTAAACCCTAATCATAGACCCTAAACCCTTGGGTAAATCATAAACCCTTTGGAAAAATCTTAACCCTTAGGTAAATTAATACTAACCAATTATACTGTTTTATCTTTTTATTTTAAACACATGTTTTTATTTTAAAGATATATTAAAAGATTTTTGTTTTAAATTGTTTTTTGCAATTATTACTGTTTTTATTTTATTTTTATCTTTTATTTTTAAATATAATATAATGTTAAAATATATTTTTAAAGAATTTTTTTTTTCGTTTTTTGTAAATATTATTATTTATTTTGTTCTAGTTTATTTTAAAAAATACAATATAATTTGATAAGATTTTGTTTCTTTTTTTAAAAGGTATCAAATATGAAATAACACCTTCCTATTGGTTGGTGAACCTAGAGTTTCACCATAGGGGGTGAACCTAAGAATAAGTCTTTTTATAGGGGTCAAAACAATATCATTATAGCTCAAAAGGCATGTTTGAGTTTTGAACTCATGATATAGGGGGTCAAAATGAGGCAATTTAACCACTACACCATAACAAGTACAGTAAAACCTCTATATATTAATAATGTTGGGATTTTGAAATTTTATTAATTCATAGAGATATTAATTTAAGAAAGTTTCCTTATTTAGATTTTTTAATTATTTTTTCCATTTTTATTTATAAAATAAAAAATATATTTGATTTTAACATATGTACATTATTTAAATTTTAGAAATTTGACTTTTATATTGTTTTATTATCTTATTTGGTGTATATTTTATGTTTCAAAGAACTGTTACATGGTTTTTGATATAATTTAACTAAACATTATCAAAATATATTGAAATGTTAAAAAAATCAAATTATTTTTATAGTAAATATAAAACCCCTAACTGAATATTATCCAAATATATTGAAATGTTTACAAAAATAAAATTATTTATAGTAAATATAAACCAACAATATAATGTTAGATTGTACTTATATAAAATTATATATAGCTAGTTTATTAATTTATGATTTTAAGGACCATATATTTACATGGTAGCTTTAAAAATATTATTATCTTATTATTTTATCGATTTGTCTCATATTTGACACCAGCCCAAGTTGGGACCGGTGAAATTTATTAATTTATAGAGATTATTAATTTATAGAGTATTAATTTATAGAGGTTCTACTGTACATGGGAAATAAGCCTAAAAATTAAATTTGATAGATTTCATAGGGTCATGTTATTACATGGGAAATAAGCCTAAAAATTAAATTTGATAGATTTCATAGGGTCATGTTATTACATGGGAAATAAGCCTAAAAATTAAATTTGATAGATTTCATAGGGGTCAAGTGACCCCCCCCCCCTCCCCTAAACGTGGTTAGGTCTTTTGTACCCTTCTTCATCTCAATAACTGAGAAGAAGTTAATTCTATGCCACGATTAGTGTGTTCGTCTCTTATATGAGGATATCATGAGCAATGCCTAGTAATTTAGCAGTCGCTCTCACAATAAATAATGATTAAAAAGTATAAACTAGAGAAAAAAGAAACAGAGGTCGTGTGACGGTGGATTCGTTGAGAGATCTTAATGTGTAGCTAAAGAGTTTTTCTTTCTTTGTTGTCTATGGCTGGTTATGCTTCTACTCAATGACTACTCTCCTTTTGTTATTACTTTTTGCAGTCTATGGCAAGTTTGTTAGGTTAAAGCGCTTGGATTTCGTTTCAACTTCAAGTCTGTTTTAACGATTTGTTTTTGTGTCTACAATGGTAGTGAGTCTACAAGCACAAATGGGACCGATTCTGGTTTCCAGTTTTGGGCTAGGGCGTCGTTTAGTTGCTCGGTTAGGTCAGTTGGGTGGTTGGGCATCGCGTAGACCTGGTGAAGGGTCAATCACCCCAGTGTTTGGAAGCCACTTAGCTGCTTGAGTAGATGGATCTTTCTCTTTTTGTGTATGATTTAGAGCGCTTGTTCATAGATTTGCTATCACGGCAACTCGTCTTTTCTAGTTTACTTACATGTGCAGGTCTTTGGGTCACTTATATATATTCAATCTCGGCTGCAGGATTCTCTAGGTTTTGGTACGTTGCATCTCAGCCTTTTTCTTGTCCGGCTAAGCTCTTAAAGTCAGTGAAGTAAACAAACTTGAAGAGATCATCATTAGTCAGCTATTGTGGAGATCATCATTAGTCAGCTACTGTGGCGATGACACGAGAAGAACCGACATCTGAGGAAACAAGGTAAACCTCACCCTTTGAGTGATTATCATCGACAGTTGAGAACAGTTAGAACGTGTCGGTGTGGTAAGCGAACGAAGCTAGTTGTGTTATGTTTTGATTTAGAAAATTTTGGTGTCGCCTGTTGTTGAGGAGTCTCTCATCAGTCTCCTTCCGCGTTTTCATTTCCCTTCATTTACCTCCGGAGAAAGCTCTGTGTTTCTTTCTAGATGTCCCCTCCGTATTTTCTAGGTCCGTGGCCGGTTGAGAGGGTGATTTTACTGCCTGCGTTGACCTGACTTTTGCTCTTCTTCTTCACCGGTTGGAATGTCGAGTTTACACTGTCTTTCAGCAGCGTTAGCTTCGGGTCTGTTTACTCGACGTCCTCCTCCTGTGGTGTTCCGGAACCGTGTCCAGGCGCCTCCGTTGAAACCGTTTGGAGCCACCTTCGGGTGTGTGTTCGTCCAAACTGCTTGTAGCTATTCTCTTGATCAACTTAGGTGATCATGAAGCGGTTTATTAGGGATCAACTCTGTTGTCTCTTGTCCTAGTTTTATATTAGCTTCATTGCTTTCCTTTTAGTGGTTTGCTCTGGACCTAAAGCATTGTTTCTTAGGGGTTTCTTATCTTTTTGCGGCTCTTAAGAACGGAACAGCTCTAAGTAGCAGATTCTGGTTCATTAATTTGTAACCAAACCATCATTCTAGTAATGACATTTACATTTTTAGCAAAAAAAAGAAAAATTGAAAAGATTGCAATGCAAAAATTCACAACGAAGATTGTGGATATGATGAAAGAAGAAAAGTTGTTTGAAACTCAAGGAGGACACATCATTCTCGCACAGGTTTGTATCTTCTGTTGATGTTTATATTCATACTCTTTTTATATTATACATGCATGCTGCACATCTAATACGTTATAAATATGTTTAACTTTTTTAAATGGGCAGATAGAGAATGAATACGGACCAATGGAATGGGAGGTAGGATCAGCAGGAAAGGCATACACGAACTGGACAGCTGCAATGGCGTTAGGTTTGTCCACAGCTGTCCCATGGGTTATGTGCAAGCAAGAAGATGCGCCTTACCCTATTGTATCTCTTCTCTCTTTTCTCTCTCTTATTTAACCTTCACCTTAGTTATACATATACGTAAGTAGGATATGATGTTAAATTTTGGTTTGTTTTGGTTTGAGTTTGGGTTAGATAATAACGTAATCGATTTAATGCTAACTTTGAGTATGGTTGAGTTTGGTAGACTTTCTATTTTAGCATGATACTGCTTTTTATCAACCTAGTTGATTTGAAATATCTTTTTATGATAATTAAGAAATTGATTGGCTACAGCTGAAGAAGTTTTTGATTGGCTAATAGATCACCATATTGTTGGCCATATTCCTACCTTTTAACTAGAATACACATATGTTGGAGATGTAAGTTGATATCCATTTTTTTCTTTTACTTATTTCTTTCTCTCACTTTCCCCACAACATTTCATTCTAATTTTGTAGCAAATGTATTGTTGCCTTACTTCTCCCTTTCCTAGTTTGTAACCATGCATGCAATCAACTTTGGCAAGGATGTAACCAATTAAGATTTCTTTCGAAAACTTGATGATCTATCTCAGCCGCGCTCACGACATTATGGTATCTTGAAGATCATTTCTGCTACATGGCCAGTTTATGTACCCAAAACTGTTATCCCGAGAAGAGGAGGAAGTGAAGAAAAGAATTGAAGCGAGATAGATTGAAAGCTTGATTCATGTTTACTTTATCTTTCTTTTGTCAATCTTGGATTATGTTAAAACCTAATTTGAAGTCCAACACTATAACAAACTACATGTTTAACACATGTGTAAACTCCACTTTACACGTGTGAGAGAGCACAGCTACAGTCTTTTTGAATAGATTACAGCTCATTTTGCATAGATTACAACCCCTTTGATGATCTGCTTTTGAACTCTGATAAGACCCTTCTGGCTGACTTTTATGTGACGTGGTGAGCTCACTTTCTTTGGTGTCAAGAGATATGCACTTTCATGATAACATGTTTTAGTTGTCTTCTCTATGTGAAGACTGTTAACTATGCATGACATACTTTGTGTTGTTGGTGTGGTTTGGATGCAGTGTAGACCGTGTAGTATGTTTGCATATTGAGGTTATTTAGTTAACAGACTGTGAGTAGATTCAAAGGTAATTGGAAAAGTGAATGACTGTTGGTTTGGCAAGTTCATTGTTCCAATTCTCAGTGAAATGAGTGCAGCCCTGAAAGACAAGATCCAGGTGGTTAAGACATAGAGAAGTACCCTAGTATTGCCAATAAATAAAGATTGAGGCACTTCCTACATTTTTACCTTGTGATCACTTCGTATGGCACCGTTAATAATGTCTTTGATTTACTTTGCTTCTTACGTTTAAGAATTATAGTTTCATTCATACTATCTTCGTTCCCTATGAACTGAGGATTCTCTAGAAGTGAAGCCATAGTTATGGATCATGAAATCTTTTAATATATGGTATGGTATGTGTTTTGGTGAATGTTCATTGGTTTAGAAAAGAAAAGAAAAGAAATGAAAAGGATTATGTTTGCTAGATTTGTAAAACCGTGTTTTGAGTCATGATCTTTTATTCACAAATAATAACAGAGAGCCTATTACATAAAAGAGAATTTTCTTTTATAACATAGGCTCTGAATCCTGAGATCGAGGGTTAGAAGATTTAACAGCCATACTAGGCTTGAATTCGAGGGTCATAGGAAGTGGTGAGGAGGTAAGAGCACATTCATTACCATTCTTTTCAGAGTCATTGTCGTCATCACAGTAACCTTGGAGCAGTCACCTTCTTGAGCAGTGAAACCAATAACACCAATCATAGTAGACCAATACTTGCGTCCAATGTTTCTTATAGCACTGCAACCTCCAGGTCCAATGTAAGTCACCAGAATAGAACTTTAGATTTTTTTTCTTGGCTGATTGCTTTCTCGTGAAGGATCTGTGAGTCTATCTGCAGCTCCATGTAGAATCAACAATATGGCAATGAGACCTGCAACTTAGAAGAAACTTAAGTTAATGTCTCCTGTTTATAATACACTAACAAAGTGTCCTTTATTTAACTAACCTTATCAACTTGCAGTTCAATGTCTCTTGTCACAATTAGAAGCTCAACAGCAGTTTTTAATCGGACTTGATCATCCACAGAGAAGACAGAAAAATCAAAGAGGGCATCAGCAAAATGATTATGCAAAAAGCAGTGTGTTGAAAAGTTTTAAAGAAAGTACTAGTTTTCTTTTAGTAGAGTCTCTGAAGAAGAGCTCCCTCATGTCTTTCTTTGGAAAGATCTTTTGGTTTGGAAAACAGTGTTTAGAATGTTTTACATCTTTTGAAATCTTACACATTGGAGCCACAAAGATAACACCATCCCAGGCAAGAGGTTCTTTCAGATGAACTTCCAAGGCGATAGCTACTCCCATCGACTGTCCGAATAAAAACCAAGGCACACTTCTCAAATTACAGAGGACAGAAGTAAATAATGTAATGAGGTCCAGAAAAAAAAGAAACCAAAAAATGCATATTTAACAATCATCAGGTTGTGAAACGAAAGTCTAAAGCGATCATAGTTCAATCGCATCAAGATGTAAACACAAAAACTATATTTCACTAACCATATGTTCTTTTCAACGAATAACGTAGGACTCCTCTTACCTTCCTCCTAGTTAACCACTACCTACTATATAGTTCTTTACTCCAAAAACCAAATCGTATCGGTATCAGTATTAAAGAAACTCACCCTCCAGATCTGAACATTTGTTTGTCAATTATCTTGCCCAAAGGATAATGGTCGACAAAGGTAAAATTATAATTAAATAGCAATGTTCTAAAAATAGCTAGGTGATAACTAAGCGTATAGAAGATTGGCACCTAGGCAGATTATTTGAGGCCTAGATGTTAATGAATTATTAGTTTATTTTATATATATTTTACATTTATATAAGTTATTTTATTTTTTCTGGTTTAATTATAGTTTTATTTTAATTAATTAATAAAATTAGATATAGAAAATAAAATAAATTACACAAATTTGTAATTCCTTACTACATTATTATTTAGTTTAACACATTTTTACTAACTTAAATCGATTACAATCATTTTAGAAAAAATTAAATCGATTTAAAATCATTTAAATTTACTTGAGTCGTATAAATCGGATTTCAAGAAAATTGTTTCGGTAAGAGGGAGTTGCCACATAACCGAGCACCTAGACGCTGATTTTTAGAATATTGTTAAATAGTAAAAAACAAATGAAAATATGATAAGTGGCATGAAAGTCTCTTGTATTTTTCAGAGTTTCTCAAATCAGAAAATATTGTCAGTTTTTCAGTTTTTTTTTCTTCTTGCTTGTTTTTTTTAGTTTATTAATTTTTTTGATACAAAATTTTTTTGTCAAATATTATCATATGGATGATCTAAGATTTCGTACAGTTTGACTGTTTGATATAAATTCTATTTTAAAAAGGGTGTAATACTAAATAATGAAAATATGAGAAAAGTAATATTCCATTCATTTCAAAAAGATAACTGTTTTGATAAAAAAAATTTAAAAATATATATTTTTTATCATATAATATTGATAATCATAAAATTTAAAAATTAATTATAACTGAATTTAAATTAACTTATAATTATAACAAATAAATAATTAAATAAAATGATAGTTTTTTTTGAAAAAGGGCATATATGATATAGTTATAGAATAAGTTTAATCAATTTTTAATATGTGTAAAAAAGTTGTGAGAAATATTTTAATACTCTCTTTAGCTAAAAGAAGCATCATGTTGTGTGCGCTCGCAAGACTAACGTAATTATATTCGACAGTGGTGAATGTTTACTTATCCATTATACACAATTACTACACAAAAGTATACATAGTATACATACATGCATGTATAGCGAATATTAATATGTGCACCCAAGTGTGTATATAGAGAAAAGAAGTACAGTATCAGTATGTGTGCTCGCAAGATTTAAGTAATTATTCGACACTAGTGAATGTTACTTATCCATTTAATTATGTCCTGAAAAGAAAGTACGTAAAGGTTTCCTTCTTATAATGAAATCATGTCTGTGTGATAATTAGAAAGTGTGAAAAGATATGCCTCATTCGTTCTTATAAATGGATAGAGACGTTTTGATCAAGAAAAAAATGGATAGAGACGTATACGTGGATTTCACTACGAACAGACGACTTATTAACTCACCCTTATTGCATTAATTTTGATCTATAAAAATTATTCCTCTTGATGACTCTCTTTATTTTACATGTTGTAGACAAAAAAATATTGTCGGTACATACGAGTTGTTATAAGCTCTAAATTAAAGCCAGGATCAAATTTGGTCTACCCTATAGTACCAATCTTATTCGATTAACACAACAAGACATTGTTAATGAGCAAGGTTATGCCAAACTAAAAAAAAAAAAGACATCACATCCCATTTAAATCCATCTTATCTTCATCGGCCTTCAGAAATCAGTAATTCTGTTACATAATTCTTAACTGTTTTTAGGGAAAAAGATTAGTATATAAAATATGTGTAGTTATCGTATAACGTATATTAGGTTAAAATATGTGTAGTTATTTTGTAACGGTTATAGGTTAAAAAGTTACTTTCAAACCCATATATCGTATAACGTATATCATCAGTTCATCACTAGGAAGAAAATGGCACAAAAAAGATTATTAGGAAGAAAATTTCCAATCCATTTGAACAAGTATGTATAGGTTGCAATGCATTAATTGGATCACTACTAAGTTGTTCTCAAATCTAATTCTAGTCAACCTCTAAAGATTGTGAAAATCCCCTTAATTCAGTGGTTTAACTAAAATTTTATAATATTTTTACATCAAAAGATCTAGATTTTGAATCTTAGAAAAAGAGAAATTATACGAATTAAAGGAAAAAAATTTACAAAATTTTTTATAGTATAACGTAAAAAATATCGTTCAAAAAGGATTTGATAGGGTACCTCAGTTGATACAATCAAGTGTGAATCCTCACAAAACAAATATAATGGTCGATTATTTAATTGTCTGTAATATCTTTCATAATTTATAATAACGTAGTTATCCAAACTTAAAAAAAAAAAACTAAACTCCTAAAGATTATTTGAATTAATGATACAGCAATTATGAGGCCAACTGGCCACCGAAGGCTTTTCCGAAAGATATGTGGCCTTGGAAATTGGAGAATGACATAAATGTTCGAGATTTTCACTACGCTTAATAAGATATCTTTTATTTTTTATAATTTTTATCGGCTAATTCTAAGGATGAATGTATTTAGTGTTATACACTATACAGTGCATTAGTTATCTTGTCGTCTGACCTAAGTTTAGAATACTTTGTAACTAATGTTTGAGGATAAACGAGTCATAGTCTACGATGTAAACCACATGGACCGAAGTTCAAGCCCACTAATTAATAATAATTTAATTTTTAGAAAGAATCGAACCCATAACTAATGTGGATGCACATTAAATTCCAAAAAAATGTCACTAGAATACCATTACATTTTAATAAAATGTCTTTGCTCTAACTTGAAGCTTTTCGTTTAAGCCCCAAGAATTGTTACCCGTCTACCTTCTTGAGCATCATCAAGGGTGAAAAATGTTTAAATCTCCCAAAAACTATAAATATTGTTATCAAATTATTAGTTGTATTTTATTCTTCTTTTAATTGGTTAGACCATTAAAAGACTGACATGTGTAAAAAATGTCCTCCTAAACAAATTTACATCTCTTAAAGAAGAACAAATTATCTATCTTAAGTTCAAAAACAAATTACCTATCCTACTTTAACCTTTATTTTTTATTTATTTTCTTTATGTTAACTCATGAGAGACTTATAAAAATTTCCACTACGCTTGCTTTACTGATCGGTAATGTGGGGAAGAAGAATGTTGCACATGATAAGAATATAATTTACGCAATTGAAAGATGAAAAAATACGGCACTGAATGAATTGTTATGTCATTATGTGCACTTGAAAGAATGTGGCGGTAGGGCTTTTAATCCACGTGCTTAAAATGTAAATTGTTAGTTCAATGTGTATCAATACACTTTGTCAAAAAAAAAAAAAATGTGGATCAATACAGTAATTTTTTTTTCTTTTTATTTTAGTGAAAAGATAGTTTCACAATTTTACCGGGAATTCATGCAATATAAATAATCTCTTCCAATAAGAGTTAAACTCGAGTGGTGGAATGCCTACTAAACACTCATTTACCGATAGACTTTCGTTGGTTAACTTTTTTTCTTAACTTAGAGGTTGATTGGCAGAGCATTAACATAAGTATTATGCTCTCTATTATCCAATCAACATTTGGCAAAAAAACATTTAGAAAAGCATTTACCAAACGCAAATGCTTTCCAAATGCTAATGCTCTCATATAGAGCTTTTAGGAGAGCATTTGCATATAGAAAATATAAAACTTAATAATATTTATATATAATTAATTTATTTTTGTTTAAAAATATAAAAAGTATTTTTATAATTAAATCTAAATTTATATTTAAAAAATAAAATTATAATTATAATTTTTTTTAAGAGAACAATATTTCACATTTAAAATATAATATAATTTATATAATTACATATATCATTCATTATTTTTAATAACAAACATAACATAATATAATTTATATATTAGCGATATAAACATATTAACTTTTATGATAATTTTATATATGAGTAATTTAGTGCTTTACCAATAAATAAATAGTAATAATTTATAAATAAATTATAACTAATTTATATATAAAATATAATTAATTTATTTATTTAATAATAATTATAATTTAATAATAATAATAATTAAATTATAACTATAATTTTATATATGAGTAATATGTTATATCCAAAAATAATTTAATATTTTTAAAACAATTTAAATTTTTAAATATAATTATATAATGAATATTAATTATATTTAATAAAATTATACATTATAAATATATATTATTTTAAAAGTAATATATTATTTTACTAACTATTATGACAATTTTAAAATTGTATACTGCTAATGATCTGCCAATCAATTTATTAAAAACTTTAATGAAAGCATACAACTTCCGTAGCATACTGCTTCTGCAGCATACTGCTACTGCTTTATCATCTGTTGTATCAATCAAGGCCTTAACATAGATATATGGTTTCTTCAACTTAACATTTATGTAGCTTTCCATCATTAAATTTGTATTGCAATTACTTGGTAGTCTTCAATGTGTTGCCTACAGAGTTAAGGACCACACACCTTGCATTATGTATCCATTTTTCTTACACGATTGAAACATGTTTTTCTTCGTATCCATAGAAGGTAAATGTATCTTATTTTTTTCTTCACAGGTGTCGTATTGTTCTTCAACTCTGAATAAGCGATATGTAACAATCTGGTGTGGTCGAACCATATTCGTGAA